CATGTATTTGTGTAAAACTTTGACTTTGCTGACTATAGACTGCATTTACTTTCTCTGTTACAAAAATAATTTTGAAGCTGGGCAAGTCCAAGTGAACATTTAAACACAATACATCCAATTTGGATGCTGTCTATTCTTGATTGCCTTGTGGTGACTCAAAGAATAAACATAAGGAGTCACTTCAGTTCTCTGAAGGATAATGGTTCACTGCTTCATTAAATAATATTAAGGGCTACAAGTTCAGGATTTTGCACAATAATTCAGTCATGAGTAGAATTCAATAAGCTGTTCTTGCCAAATGCTAGCAAACCACAGGCTAGTCATCCCTGTGGGTTATTAATTTAAACAACGAAACTTTTCAAGCTCACATAAGTATTATTACTTATGTAGCTCTTCTCAGAAAGTGTTTAACTGCCATGGATTCACTATTGTTTATTCTTTCAGGTTTTGTTTTTAATTTATTACATTTTATTAGAGGGGAAGGCATGCAGCACACGTGAAGGTCAGAGAACAACTTGCAGGAGTCAGGAGTCAGTTCTCCTTCTACTATGTGGGACCTGGAGACAGAACCCAGTTCATCAGTCTCGGCAGCTTTGCCCACTGAACCATGTCACCAGGTGTCCTAGTTTGTTTCTTCATTGCTGTGACAAAATACTCTGACCAATACCAACTTGGGGAGAAAAGGGTTTGTTTAGCTTATATCTTCCAGGTCACAGTTCATCAGGGAGCCCAAGGTAGGAACTCAGGGCGGAAACCTGGAGGAAGGAGCTGGAGCACAGGCCATGGAGGAACACTGCTTACTGGCTTGCTCCCCTGGCCCCTGCTCAGCTTGCTTTCTTATGCAACACAGGCCCACCTGCCCAGCCAGTCCAATGAAGGCAATTCCCCAATTGAGGCTCCCTCAACCCAGGTATGTCAAGTTGACACTAAAGCTATCCAGAACACCAGGCCTATTGTTTATTATAAAATATGATTTTTAAAACGTGTGTGTCTGTGTGAGTATATGCCATGTTTGTGGGTACATGCAGAGGCCAGAAAAAGATGCCAGATCCCCTGGAGCTGGAGTTACAGGGGACAGTAAGCCACCTGACATCAATGCAGGGCACCAAACCCAGGTCCCCTAGAAGAACAGCAAGTGCTCTCAACCATTGGGCCATCACTTCATCCCCCAATACGAACTTTTTATCCTGTTTGTTTTTCACATTAATATCCTGCTCCAGCCCAAAGGAAGAATGTTAGTCAGGTTAGTCATACGCTCACCCCCAAACTGTGGCCTCCTAATCCCATGGCTACGCTCAAAACAACTGTTCCAGTTTCCTATCAATGGTTTACCAGGAAAAGTTCTTTTTCAGCAGACCTTGAAGGAATGACTGACTTTCCGTGACTATCTACTACATATGTACTGTTCTAAGTACTAATTCAGGAGCTAGAGATAAAGTAGTAAGTGAAGCAAGACAAAAACACCAGGAAATCTAACCAATAAAGGCACGCTACAGAACCAGAAGACTTCCTGTGCTTCTGCATGGGAACCTGCCCAAATGAAACAAGAATGGCATCTGTACTGAGGTAAGGCCATGCACACTTTGGGTGCAGCCTCTTTGGAAAACTGGCAGTTTCTCAAAGGGATAAACATAGAGTAAGCCTGTGACCAGCAATTCTACTCATTGGGTAACTGAAAACATATGCCCAGGAAAATGCATAGCTGGGGGCCGGAGAGATCCCTCAGTGTGTAAAGTGCTTCCCATGCAAGTGTGAGGAGCTGACTTCAAAGTCCCACTATCCATGTGAATGCTAGGCAGGCATGCTCCCCTGACCCCTGCAATCCCAGAGCAGGTAGAGACGGGGTTCCTGAGGCAAGCTGACTAGCTAGACTAGCTGAATCAGCAAACTCCGGGTTCAATTGAGAGACCTCTCTTCAATATACATACAGAAGTGATTAAGGAAGATACCCAATGTCAACCTCTGGTCTCCACATGCACCCACACGCAATGCATCTTTACACATGGGAACACATGTGCGTGCACACACACACACACACGCAAAAATATATATAGCTGAATGTTCTTAGCAGCATCAAAAGCAGGCACAACCTAGATGCCCCTTAACTGTTAAGTAAAATGTGGTACAGCCATACGCTGGAATAGTATTCAGTAATAAAAAGGTATAGACATGGGTAAACACTAAAAACATTTTGTTAAGTGAAAGAAATCAGATAAAAATGCTTCACGTTGCATAATTCTGTATGTATGGAAAGTCAGAACTGGCAAATCTATAGACAGACAAGTAGATTAGTGGTCTCCTAAGTCTGGGAGGTAAGTAGGTTCAGGGGAAATGAAGAGAGCTTCTTTTGGGATAACACAAGTGTTCTAAAATTGGGGTGATGGTTACGCAACTCTATCTACTAAGCACCAATGAACTTTGTAGGTGAATGGTGGAGTTTTTATCTCAAGAAAGCTGATGGGCTTTTGCTGTTGTTTTGTTTTGTTTTCTAAGACAAGGTCTCACTGTGTAGTTGTGTTACCATTGAATGCTCAAGCTTGCCTTGGCCTCTCTCAGTGCTAGGATTACAGGGATGAGTCACCATGCCTGGCCAGAAAGCTGTTATTTTAAAAAGGAAAGCTGGTAAGCCAAAAAATGTCTTCAAAAGATATTAGCAAGGCTGAGCATGGTGGTATATGGCTCTAGTTCCAGTACTAGGGAGGCTGAGACAGGAGAACTGCTGAAAATTTGAGGCCAGCCTGGGCTACATAGCAAATTCTAAGCCAGGCTGGTTTCTCTGTAGAGTAAGACTCTGCTTCAAAAGAAAATTAAAAAAAAAAAAAAAATTATCCACCTATCTACCTACCTACCTACAGATGTGTACATGAATATATAAATATCAATATATATTCTCAGAATATCATTAGCTTCTTTAGTCTACATTCCTTTTATTAATTAGAACAAGACATGTGTGCTTCTAGATTCCAAATGGAAGGACTCACTCAACATTTACCACCCTGATACGTGCTAGATAGGATGGTGAAGTAAAGATGAGAAAGGCAGGTCTCAACTCCAAAAACAACACTGGTGCCCCCATCCCCGCCTTCTCCTCATCAGTCTAAAATAGCACCTTTTCCTGAACACACAGCTGGGTGCTGGAGAAGTTCACAGAACAGAAGCAGTGCTGGCTTCTACCTGCCACCTACCTATCTTGCCCAATCCTCTTTCATCTCATAGCTGCTCCTAAGGGCTTCCTAGTTCTTTTCTCAGGATATCTTCCAGGACCATCTAGAACATCTAACCCTTATCTCTCAGTGCTCTACCTAGAGAGTCTCAAAGCAGAAATGCATAATTTGGATACCTGACAACTTAAAAAAACAGTTCAAAACAATGCAGCTTCTCCAAGGGTTAACAGTTTTTGTTTTTCTTTGGGGGGGGTCTTTTTGAGACAGGATCTCCTTGTAGCCCCAGCTGACTTGGAACTTGCTATGTAGACCAGGCTGGCCTTGAACTCACAGAGATCTGCCTGCCTCTGCCTCCCAAGTGCTGGGATTAAAGGCGTGCACCACCATGCCTGGCTATGGTTGATGTTTTTCAAGTATGGTCAATATTTATAAAACTATTTAAACAAAAAAAACCGATTTATTTTTATTTTATGTGTATGTGCATTTTGCCTGCATGTAAGTGCACCCATTTGTGCAATGCCCACAAAAGAGGGTGTTGGACTCCTTGGAATTGGAGTTATGGGTGGTTGTTAGCTGCCATGTGGGTACTGGGAATTGAACCTGGGTGCTCTGCAAGAGTAGCCAGTGCTTTTAAACACTGAGCCATCTCTCCAGCCCCCTATTTAAACCATTTTTAAATGGACAGTTCAGAAGCAGTAAGTATACTATCATAATCATCATCTCCAGGACATATTAATCTTCCAACACTAAAGCTCTGTACCCTTTCAACATGAATTCCTTATCCCCCTTTCTCCCAGCTCCTTGGCAACCACCACTCTACTTTCCGTCTCTCTCTGTATTTGACTATTCTACTACTCTTTTATCTCTCCATTTTCTTGCAAAGGCTTAAAATTTCTAGCAAATTTCCAAGTGGCTTTTCTAATAATCAGGTAACTAAGAAAGGGTAAGCATAACTGAAATCCTTATGTGTGTTTGCATGTCTGTAGGTGCATGTACACATGTGTGCAGATGCATGTGGAGGCCAGAAGACAAAGTCTTCTTTGATCACTCTAATTTTTCAGACTCTCACTAAACCAAGAGTTTGCTGGTTCTGCCAGACTGATTGACCAGCAAGCCCTAGGGATCTCTCTGTCTCCACCACCCCAGGCACAAACAACTGCATCCAGCTTTCTTATGTGGATGTTGGTGACCCAACTCACATCCCCATGCTGGAACAGTAACCATTTTATCAGTAAGCATCTGAGCCATCCCTCCAGCCCTTGAGATTCTAGTTTTTAAAAATGACTCTCTGTTATACAGGAGTGGTGCTAGACACCTATAATCCCAGCACTCAAAAGGTAGAGGCAGGAAGAGGTCATTCTGGGCTACAAAACAAAATTGCCTCTAAACTAATTAACTAAATTCACTTTTTTATTAAGAGGCGAAGAAGTTGTTACCTCTTAGCTGCCATTGTCTGATAGAAGTCATGGGAGAACATGGAACAAGATAAATATCTGTTGGTTATGGAGCCCAAGGGGAGAACACAGAGACAAGAGTGTGGTTTTGTAGGCTAAGTGTTCTAAGTATACTTACTGATACTTATGGGATGACACCCTCTGTCTCACTGCATGGAAAGTGTACTTCAAAAAGTTGTTAAAGAATAAACCAAGAACCAATGTATTTGACCAGTGATGTTTCCTCAGGCCAGCCCTGGGGCTTCCTTCACATGGCCTTCCTTACCCCTTCACATCATCACCCTCTCCAACAGTCCCCATCACCTGGAAAAGACAGATGCCATCTCTGGGTAGTATGGAAGGAGGGAAAGCACAGCTCAAGCCTCATGGCCACGGTACTCACTTCATCAGCTTCTGCTTTGTGGCAGAGTCTTTGAAGCTCCTGAACTCTTCTCCTGCTTTGATCTCATAAAATTGGGGCTTCAGGACCGTCTGCTGGTCCTCTTTCAGTTGCTCCTGCCACTTCATCTTTTCCTCCTGGTGCAGGAGTCTGCGCTGCTTCCTGACCTCTTCGACCCAGTCTTTTTCATCATCTGAACTCTCTGAACTTTCCGCATCACTCGGTTTTCCTTCCGGTTCTTCCTCCTCTTCCTGAAAGTAAAAATAGTAAGAAGAGCTCCTTTCGCTCAAATACTACCCATTAAGAGCATTAGCCCATCAGAATACGTGACAGCTGCTCCATCTGCATCAGAAGAAATGCCTTTAATTAATAAGATATACTCCAGGCTGAATGTCAAGCAATTAGTATGTAACTAATTACCTCTCAAGTACAATCAAAGGCTTCCTAATTTACACAGAAAATTATGTTAAAGAAATAGTAAACATACAGTATTTGTCTTTCTGAAATACCATGCATTTTCCCTTATTTGTGGTTCCTAGATTTTACACAGACACATAAAATCATGTATGCACATATGACATGAAAGAAGAAGTGGAGCTATCTAGGGGACAAAGGGACTAATGGGAGGGGAAGGGGTTAGGGAGGAGAGGGTAGAGACATAAGGAGCAATGTGCTCCATGTATCCGTGTGTGAAAGTGTCCTGTCACACAGTACCCTTACAATGAATATATAAATGCAAAGGTTTTTAAAAACACACACACACACAAGCAGCACTTCTAAGTGCTAAGAAGTGCATTACTTTCTCACGAAGTTCTTGTTGTTCTAAGAGTCTGAGTTTCTTCTTCCTCTTTTCACTAATTTTTGAAACAAGTGGATTCAAAAGTCTAAATTCTTCACTTTCTTCATCTACTTGGAAGTCGGGGTTTTCAAACATAACTTTAAATCGATCATCTGTGAGAATATTAGGAAGGCTCTGCAGGAAAAAAGAAGAAAAATACAGAACAGTTTAAGTTAATATCTGAATAAAATCTGATGAGGGCTTTACAACATTTACTCTAGCATAAATTAATAAGCTGTATAAGGATAAGATATTAACATTAGAAATGTATAAAATTTCTTTAGAACTGGTTTCCAGAACTTTCAAACTGGTCTAAAGTTGGAACTGACAAAACAATGTCTATTAATATATTTTGCAGATGATAGTTTGGGGCATTTACATAATGACCTAAGAATGAATTTTTTTTTTTAGCTAACTTTATGCTTACTATCAGAGAAAGAATTTCCTTAGTACTTCTAGCGCAAACAAACAAACCACACTTTTCAAGGAAATACGTAACTTTTTGGAATATGGCTTTAGCAAGTAAGTCTTTCAACTTCATATTCCATGGCGGAAGGAGGAAGAACTGTCAGCATGGTGGGGTGGCCACAGCGGGTGGGGCGGTTTACTGGGGATAGTTCTATTCTTTATAAAGATAATGTCAAAGCTGGGGATCATTGCACACAGGACTGGGAAGGCAGATCTCTGTGAATTCAAGGCCAGCCTGGCCTACACAGTGAGTTCTAGGCCAGATGGTGCTACAGGGAGACCCTCTCTCAAAAAAGACCAAAAGAAAAAAAACCCCAAAACCAACAAACTTCAAGCGCTGGAAAGATGATGGCTCAGGGGTTAAGAGCACTGGCTGCTCTTGCGGGATGTGGGTTCAGTTCCCAGCATGCACATGGTGGCTAACAACCATTTGTAAGTCTATTTCCAAGAGATACAACACCCTCTTCTGACCTCCAAGGGCACTGCACGACAAGGGTGCACTTACATATATATAGGAAATACACTCATTCACATAAAATAAAAATAATAATAAATATAGGGTTTTTTTTTAGATGCTGCAAACATTTTAATGATTATTGTTGAGCAGACAAAAAAATAGTTTTTTTAAAAAGGTAACTAACTTCAAGCCGGGTGTGGCAGTGCATGCTTTTAATCCTAGCTCTTGGGAGGCAAAGGCAGGCAAATCTCTGTGAGATTGAGGTCAGCCTGGTCTATATTGTAAGTTTCAGGTCAGCCGGGGCCACAGGGAGACCCTGACTCGAAAAGACAAAAAAAAAAAAAGAAAAAGGGTAACTTCATTACTTTTCTTCCTTGGGTCATTACTTGTTCCTAAGGACATAGTCTTTACATAATAAGGTTTTGGCTATTCAGTCTCATTTGGGTAACTCAAAACTGACATTAGATTCCTTTTTATTTCTACTATTTTTTTTTAAAGCTTTAGATAAAAAGTAAAGAAATTTAAGATGTTGGGCAGTTCAAAGCATTAAAGAGGACTTTTTTTTTTTTTTTCTGGTCTTTTTGAGACAGGGTCTCCCCTGTAGCCCCGGCTGTCCTGGAACTCACTATGTAGACCAGGCTGGCCTTGAACTCACAGAGATCCGCCTGCCTCTGCCTCCTGAGTGCTGGGATTAAAGGCGTGCACCACCACGCCCGGCAAGAACACGTTTAGAGAAGGAATATGAAGACAAAAGGAGAGATTAGGTGGGCAGACTTATAGAGAGTTACATGTCTGTGGCCACATCCAGAAGCACTGTCTATTTGTACTATTTTTTTATTTTTAAAAAATTATTTATTTAATAACCACATAATTAGAAGAAGTATTTCATTACAACAGCATTGACATATTAAATAACAATTTCCTG